GGGGGGGGGGGGGGGGGGGGGGGGGGTATCGATCGGGACCGTGGCCTACCCCAACCCTTCGTGATGACCCGATTGGGTTGCTAAGCATGAAAGTGCCTCGATCACGTCATCGGATGGTTCTCGTCCGGAAGACCTGGTTCCATTTGGACTCTTGGCCGAGCAAACAAGCCAACGAGAGGACAAACAAGCCGACGAAATGGGACGCATTCGAGTGGGTCGGACGACGGACGCTGACGGATCCGGCAAATTGGCAACACTGTCTTCCTCCATTTAAACCTATGGAAAGTATCGATTCTTGGAGGGGCCAGTTGCTCCGACAAGAGTCGATTGTTTAACGTAGGTTTAAAGGGAGGGAATCCGGTGCTTTTATTTCTCCTTTATTTCTCCATTAGGGCAATAGAGGATTTGCGCGGGAATATGTAAACGCCTTGCAAATAGGTGCTCGCAACTATTTCGACGTGTAAGAATCCGACTTTGCCTACTCTTTAAAATGAAGGCAAACGATATTCCGTACTGAGCAGACTGGCTTAGCACCTTCACTTGGCCGGCTAGGCAAAATAGACCTCACGCACGTCGAAATAATCGCATTCTCGATGGCGAGACGACGCAACCACGTCCCTCCGTTTGCAACGTTGCAGATTTCCTGTAAATTTTAATGGTTAGAAAAACTTACTCGCTTTCGGAAAATTGCTTTTTTCTTTATTGCTCTTTTCCAGGTAAAGCATTAGCAAGATATCTATAATTAAAGATCGGATTGTGCTCTTGGTTTCTCTACCGCACCGCCAAATATCAAGTTAACCGCGTCAGAGATAATTCCTCATTCTAATGAGGTAATCTTCATGGAATAGTTTCTGTCGACTTGACACGGTGCGCTCCCGGTAAAGGCGTGTTGAGGGAAAAATCGAGGAAAAAATTTGAATGATTCACGTAATTCCTGCCACCGATTTTCCTCCTCTCCATTCATGAAGTCTCCGCATTTTTCTTCTGTGACGTAATGTGAGCTGGGGATAATAAAATAGAATAAAACTCCTTATCGACCTCTCCTCTCTTCGCTAATTTTATTTGAAGCCGGAAATGCTTCATTGGAAGAAAAAACCATGGCTTCAACGGAGTATCTTCGCGATCTAAGTTTTGTGATCCCTCCTTTTTCCACGGGCAAATTCGCTTTCAGCATTGCCGAGTGTCATAATTTAGTTTTTCCAATTTTATGACGGATTTAGGGGCTACGCCGCTACGGGCTAAACCCACGGACTTCACGGAAAATACCTTTTCCAACTTGCCAAAACTTCCAGACAAATGATGCGGCGTGATACAGTTCAAATAGTTGTATCATTACGCCTTAGAAATGTGACGGAAGATTACAATTGAAATAGCCTCCATACACGCAGGGCTTGTCAATTCCCTTTGACATTTTTGCAGTGATGAATGCATAGCTGAAGTGCGGTCCAGCTAGAATTGTATTTAGCAAATGGGTGGCGATTATACGAGGATTAAAAATAAACAAGTGGTGCGGAACATAACAAAAGAATATGAACTATGCAAAAAGATAATCCGGATATCGGAACTTGGCTGTCTTGAAAACGCCTTCAAATGCGGCGTGATACCTCACGCATTCCGGCGAGTTCAAATAGTTGTATCATTGCGCCTTAGAAATGTGACGGAGGATTACAATTGAAATAGCCTTCTTGCACGCTGGGATTGTCAATTTCCTTTGACATTTTTGCAGTGGTGAATGCATAGCTGAAGTACGCTCCAGCTAGAATTCAATTTAGCAAATGGTTGGATTTTATACGAGGATTAAAAATAAACAAGTGGTACGGAATATAACAAAAGAATATGAACTATGCAAAACGATAATCCGGGTATCGCAACTTGGCTGTCTTGAAAACGCCTTCAAATGCGGCACAAATGATAACTGATGAATGTCGAGACGAGCTTTTCGTTAAGAGAGTTTCAGCGAATGAAGTTAAGACTGTTAAACCATTGGCGCAACTCTTTGGACGTCAGACCTCTTCCGGCGAATTTTAGCGTTTACTGCCGAACTTAATGAAAATAAACACTGTAGGGAAGATGGCAGTAAGGGGTCTCTAAAATCGTTAGTAGGCTTTTTATATATATATATATATATGAGTCGCTTTTATAGCGCTCTTTGGCGCTGTGCGACGCCTAATCGCCACAAAGCTCGGTCTTCCCACAGGTCATCAGGGAGTTGACAATCTCTTATCTCATTTAACACCCCCTGTCGCCAACCTCTCACTGGGCGTCCCCTACGTCTCCTCCCAGGAGGAACCCAATCAAGCATCCTTTTTGGCAGCCTCTCTTCCGTCATCCTATTGACATGACCATACCAAACAAGTTGTTTGGTCATGACGTCGAACACGATGTCATTTTCGACTTCCATTATCTGACGCACTCTATCATTACGGACCCGATCTCTCCTAGAAATTCCTGCTGACCTTCTCCAGAAATCCATCTCCGTTGCTCTTAGCATATCCTGTGTCCGTTTCTTCAGCTGCCAAACTTCACATCCGTATGTTAATATACTTTTGACTACAGCGTTGTATATCCTCCTCTTGTTATCTTTAGAAATCCGCTGATCCCAGAGGATTCCATTTAACATCGCTATAGCCTTCCTTGCTAAGGTGTTCCTTTCCCTGATAGCTTGATCCGTCCTTCCATCCTGGGTCAACCGCACTCCCAAGTACTTAAAGTGCTCGCAGCCTTTGATCTGCTGCCCATCCTCCAACTCAATGCTTTGCTGATCACCGCCAAAAGTCATCTTCTCAGATTTGGATATGCTGACTTCCAGACCCCACTTCCGATACTCTTCTACTAGCTTGCGCATCATGTATTCCGCGTCATCTTGATCTTGAGCAACCACCACCTGGTCATCAGCAAAGCACAGAGTAAACAGAGTTTCGAGATCACCCAAGGGGACACCCATACCAGAGCATTTCTTTTTCCATTCTTTTAGCACGCACTCGAGATAAATTTTAAATAATGTTGGCGACAAACAACATCCCTGTTTTAAACCCTTAGTCACATAAAATCCCGCTGACAACCCCCCATGGCACTTAACTTTGGTAAAACTCCCTTTATAAAATCGCTTAACAGCGTCAATCAACCCCCCGTTAAAATTCGATTTTTCCAAGGCCTCCCAAAGTTTCACCAACGGCACGCTGTCATACGCCTTCTGGAGATCCACAAAAATTAAATGCACTTCCTGAGCTACGGCCATTTTCTTCTCAATGACCTGGACAATAACAAAGAGGTGATCTATCGTAGACCTGCCAGCTCTAAAACCAGCCTGCTCCTCTGCTTC